TCTTTGTTGTTTGGAGGCATGTACAGCAGGTCTTTTTAGACTTGCAGTCATTGGTTATGAAGCACAGCATCCACCTTTCTGTTCTGTAAATGTGTGCACACATCTGTGAGAACAGTTTAATTTGTTAGTGTCAAGGATATCAATGTATATGTGTGCATTAGAAATCCGTTTGAGGAAATCCCAACTTCTAGGCATTAAGTCAGCTTCCAGCAAGTGGAAATTTCATTTACATGGATGTGTAACACATGTGGACACCAAGCTGTCTCTGAAATTATCCACTAGTTGGGATATTTACCAAGTTTGTGGGGTTCAGTAATTCCTTACATTAAGCTTTTAAGGAACTGTAATTTCTGTTTATCAGGTGATATCCAGAGCCCGCTCCTGAGGATACATTAGCATCTAAAGCACTGGAAATCTCTTCTGTCTTTGGACAGAAAAGATGCATAACATTCAAGCCAGTCTGTACAGTAGTTTCTTCGCTGTCCTGGTACAGCTAAAATACAAGCAATTGCAGTGTCTCCTGCTCAGAATTGAAGTCACAACTTGTTGTTCACTCCTGTGTTTTCACCACTCGGCCTTGTTTCTGTGATGGTGCTGGGGATTCGGTCTTTGGGAGCCTTGCTAGATTGCTAGCTGTCTGCCAGCAGCTGTGGTCAGGATAGTTTCTTTCCATTTGCATGTAGCAGTAAGAGAGTGATCTTCTATAGATACCAGGAGTTAACTGTATCTCTTGCCCAAAGCTTGTGCTCCATGTGGATATACACCTAAAGCGGTGGTCTTCAACCTTTTCAGACCTGAGGCATCTGGGCCAAGTACAGAGAACACATTACTCAGTCACTTCAAGGTCTTATTGGTTTTGGCTTGTTTTCCAGGTAGAATTTGAGGTGTTAAGGTCTAGTTTGATCCATGATTATCCTTAAGATATTTCTCTCGCTCTGGGTGGTATTGATTTCATGGAGGTAAACAAGCTGCCGGCTCCCTGTTACAAAAGAGAAATCGCTGCGGGTAAGGCTACTCCATGACGGTTAGTCTCTACTGGACCTTGTTTCCCCATCAGTGTGATCAGGCTTTTCCAGGGCTTCCTGGTGGGAAATTTGGAGTAATTCCTTGTGGGACCATAATAATTAAGACAGGTTTTATTTGAAATATGCACATTGTGTGCAGCTAGTTATAGGCTATTGTGTTATATTTTGTGTGTGGGCTGGCTGCATATCTTACTTAAATAAGGATATTTAAATTTATGCTTTGAAACCCTATATAGCTTCAGGGGTTGGAGAGGTGCTATCCTAAGCCTGTCTAAAAGGTTGACAAAAATCTGAGGGTTTATTTGTGGAAGTCTGAAGCTAGAACAAGCCTTCCAAGTTAAGCATCATGGCAAAGACCAGTTTCCTCGTGTTACAAGACACAGTGTAGATTATTAGCATTGAAGACATTTTAAAGCTGTAATTGTTTGTGTTTCATTTCCTTTTTATATTTTTTCTCAGTGATCAGTGAATATAATCTATTTAGTTTCCAGTAGAGTTGCAGTGGAGCTGTGATGGTCTAGGACATATGCAAGAAGCAAGGATGGATTTTCTGGTAGATGGTTGGGAGATGTTAGAGAAGCTTTGGGGCACAAAATACCTTCACATTGTGCCCAAAAACATGTCTAATATCTTTCCCAACTATGCAGTGAGTCCAATAAAAGATATAGCCAAAAAAACCTTGCTGCTCTGTCAGATTTTCCTGCTGGCTTATGTGATGCTGCAGTATCTGAACTGGACATATAGCACAGAGCAATGAACGCTTGAAATAAAGCTATTTCTGCTGGCACCCCATAACATTTCTGTTGGTTTTGCAGCTGACAGGGTTGAATTAGCAAAAGGTTACTTTGTCACTAGGTCAGCAGAAATTTTTGTCAACTTCCTTAGAGAAAGGGACTGAGTAAGTATGTTGCAAACACCTCTTGCTTACAGTTCTGTCATCTTACCGGATTTAGCTGCTGTAAGCAGATGGGTGTAAATCATTTGATTTAACTTCACCATTACTGTTCCATTCTCCTCTTTGTCGCTGCATCTTCCTTCCCCTTGGCTGTTCTCTCCTGCTATCTGATGTTAGTACACTAAAGCTGCTGATGCATCCAAATTCCACTCCGGGTGCACACACATAATTATGTGCAAATGTAGAGGTCATTTCTGAGCCCATTTTAGTGGGGGCTGCACTAGTGCCAGCCATGGGCCCCCAGGTTGCAGGGCTTCATTTAGTGCAGGGCTGTCCAACTTCTAAGCAGCTGAGGGCTGCATGACCTGGGGGCTGCACTAGTGCCAGCCGTGGGCCCCCAGGTTGCAACCGCCTCCCCCACTGCCAGCACCTCTGCACAGTGTGTGCAGGCAGCCCCCGCCCCCACATCACTGTACTGTGTGCTTGGATGGTATCCCCCACCCTGCACCACGTGTCCCCACGTCAGCTCCCGTACTGCACCATGTCGTGGACTCCACCAATGCGGTGAGCTGTGCCGCCTTTTGTGGGCTGCAGGTGGCCTGCGGGCCGCCAGTTGGACAGCCCTGATTTAGTCCATGAAGCAAATTCTTAACATTTTAGCCATCTTTTAAGGTTACTGTGAGCAGCAAATAGAAACAGATATCGGCCAGGGTAGTGCTTCCTGCCACTCTCACCAAGTTTTGTAATGTCTGGGACCTGTTTAAAGAAGCATCCAGATTTTGATTCAGCAGCTGCTCGCACGGCACTGTTTCATGGGGATTCACCTGTGCTTTGAGACACATAACTGAGCAGGTTGTAGAACAGGGGCCCTGTTCATTGTTTCTTCTTTGTAAAGTTTAGAGCATGAATTTTATAAATGAACACAGACAAATCATCTTTTGCCACTTCTTCCCCTCCCCCAATGAATCATATTTCTTATTTCTTGAGTGACCTGAAGAAGGAAAACCCATGTCATGAGTGTCATTATAATTCACACAGTGTATTGATTACTGATTTGTACAAATTGACATGCAATCAATTAAATGTAAGGAATGCTATATAAGTATTTAGTCACATAAAAGCACTGAACAGTCATTCTTGACAATTATCTGTATTTTAATAGGTTTGAAACAAAAACAGCTTTTTCTCCATGTTTATCTCCAGTCCTTGTTCGTGCAAATTACAATGGACCAGATGTCACCTTCTCAGCTATAATAAATTGTCTTGGGCTGTAGCTTAAATACGGCTGTTGAACACTTGTTTTCAATAGTTATTAAAAAAAAAACAAAAACCCAAAGAAAAGGGAAAGTAATTTTTGACCAGAAGCATATCATTAACATGCAAAGAATGTTTGAATGAATGTAGCTGATAGCAGAATTGAAATGAACCCCTTCCCTCCCAAAAATGGTGATTCATTGCACACTTGTAATTTCTTTTATTTATTCTTATTATTGCCTTTGAGACTTAGGCATCCTCAAGTCTATTAAGCTTTCAATCTTTCCTGATGTTAGAAATACCCTTTTGTACTAATATATATGAAGAGTAATGATTTTAATTTCTTACTGAGATAACAGACTGACAGAAAAGGGCGGAATATTACAAACATTGCTCATGTAATCACTTATATAAGATGTATCCTTTTCATTGTAAAGATACATGGTAGCTTCATATTGCTTCTTGTTCAGTTGCACGTACAAAATCGGAGGGTTTTTTTAATGCTGAAATATACTCTTGAAATACCGTTTTGTTTTGTCACTTGCCTTGTTTTAGATTTTTGAAGTAAAATATTTCAAGGATTATTCTGTATGTCTATTGCCAGTCTTTTGATAAAAGAAAATACTGAATGCATTAAACAACTACAGAATACCATCTTGTAGATGTTTAGCTTATCTTTCCTGGTGAATTTAGTATTATTTAAAGGCGTGTGTGCATGACAGTTTAAAGCAGGCTAAATGCTTTTGCACCGCTTTAGTGGTGTTGGTGTTTGCACACCTCTGCAGCATATTGCGCATTTCATTCCAGCCGCTGTAGGAAATTCTCAGTGTAATGTGACTTAAATGACTCCATGGCTCTGCAAGAAGCCCCGCAGGCAGTCTGGCAGCAGCCTGGGCAGGCAGGCTCCACCCAAGAAAAGTGGCGAGTCTGATCTTCCCTCCCCCAAGCCTGCCTGCCTGACCGGCGTGAGGGCCCAGTGCTTTCCTCCGCAGCTGCAGTGCCCCCGGGACCACCCAAGCCAGGTGCCTGCAGGTGGGCGCCGCTACGGGGGGGAGGGCACTGCTGCCACGGAGAGAAGCACCAGCCCCTCTGCAGCCCAGGGACTGCTCCACCCGCTGGCAGCTCACCCTCCCTCCCCACCAGAAAGGCAGGTGGTGTTTTTTAAAACCCGCCACTTCAGTTTAGGGCCCCCATTTTGTCTACACTCGCTCTAAGAGAGGACAGGGAGTTGTGGCTATAAACAGTGCTGCTTACAAAGGAGTACTGTGGCAAGCATGAAAATGCAACAGAGCTGGAGTTTTTCTTCCCTTAAATTTTTGCTGCAAACACCATTCTTGATGTATAGCTGGAATCGGGTATCCTTGTTAGAGGGGTGTGGTAGGTCAGTAGTAAAAGGGCATAGGAATGGGAGCCAAGAGATAAAGCATTTTCTCCCATTTCCTTTGAAGCTGTGTGAGAAACTCATTCTGAATTCAGGAGGAGCTCCATACTGAACCTCTCACTTCTTGTCCTTGCTCTGCCACTGATGTGGTTACTTACTTGAATTATTCCATCTCTCTGTGCCTGTTTCCTCCACTGATAAAATGAAGATAGTTGGATGAACTCAGCTTTTTTAAAATGCTCTGAGATCTGGGTACAAAAAGCACTGCAGAAGGGCCAAGCATTATTACTTTTTCAAGTGACCTTTGGGGCCTGATGCTTTGCCAAAGGGAGGGGAAAGGAAGCCATCATTGTTGAGTCGAGTTTGAAGCAGATGGTATTTGCATACAGGATGTGCTTCTAGAGGGTCAATTTGCTACTATATTCTTTGTTTTTAATAATTTCAGACGGGCTAAACTGCGGCTATATTTGGAACAGCTAAAGCAGCTTGTGCCTCTTGGGCCAGACAGCACCAGACACACCACTTTAAGTCTGTTGAAAAGAGCTAAGATGCATATCAAGGTAAAATCATCCACCCACATTTTGTTTTCTTCAAATTTAAGATTTTGTATCTGCTGAAAAGGTACCATCTTTGATGTGTGCCCACAAAAGTATTTCCTTGAGTTACTGGATCCACGTATTGTTTTATTTGAAGTGAGAGGTTAAAATGGACTTTGCTGTTCCAAGCCTATGAAATGGTGATTTCTTTTCAGTCTCTAATGGTTTATATTTTGTCTTACAACAATTATACATCATTCAGTAATGGCCAGTCTGATTTTTTTTTCAAAGGACTGGGGCAGACTGATTTGCAACTGTGTTACTTTTAGTTAAAACAAGCTACTCAACTGAAAGTTGAAATAACTAAGGGAGTGGAAAGGATTATGGCTATTAGTAACACTATGTGCCCTGTACCTTGATGACTAGATCTTCCAGTGTTTGAAATTCATTTAAAAGAATGAAAAAGAAATTAAGGCTCTGCTTTCTAAGTGTTTTATTTGGTTTACTATTGAATATGAAAAAAAATCTTTTTAAAAAATATTTTCTGGCTTTCCATCTAGTTCTATAGCCACTCCCTTGGTCCTTGTTTTTTGAAGAGTGGGGTTAACAATATATCTTCTAGGCAATATAATACTAATAATAATAAATCTGAAAAGATCCAGAATGCTGCTCTTGTGCAGCATTCATTCAATGCAGCCAGTGGGAGGGGAAAATAGAATTGTTGTCAGATATTAGACATGTACTTAAGCCAAACCATCTCTATTAGTAACAAATGCACCAAGCTATCTTCTCAACTGCTATAAATTGGTGTAAGTCCTGTTCCCGCAACACACCTGTGCCTATTTATACCAGCTGGCCTCTCCGGGTATATAATTCAGATTAAAGTGAATGACCTGAATATGCTTTGTGTTTTGGCCTGCCAGTGATATTCCCTACTTAGGACTGTGTACTATGGAATGCAGAACTAGGCTTTGTTTTTCAAAGGCTCTCTCTGCACATTACATGTATTACACAATTAACTGGTTAACTGTGCAATTAATTTAGACCAGCCCCATGTGCTGCTGCACTTGGGAGTCCTGCAGCTGACTGGGGGATGGGTGGGGGGGAGCCATGTGACCTGGCTACTTGCCAGTGCAGGGGAAACCCAGGTTCCCCCTGCACTGGCAATAATGCGTGATTGGATCTCATGTTGGATCCCACAGTCATGCTTCCTGCCATGAATGTGTGGCATGGCAAGAGGCATGATTATGTGGATTGTGCATCAGGTGCTATCCAGGTAAAGGTATGATGTCTAAAGGGGCCCAAAGTGACACATTTGTGAGGTGAGCCCTTGACTCTCATTCAGGCCAGTAACAAAGCTAGGGATCGGCTGCCTTTTTCTGTTCTGCTCCCTGATCAGTCTGGACCTGATGGTTACTGGTGGTCCAAAACCCTAGAGGTTCTTTTTTTTTTTTTTAAGATGTAGCTTGAGCGTCCTGTTACTGAACTGTTTCTCTCCAGCAGGACTAGGAGCATTTCAGGTTGCCGGCAGTCTGAAGACAGGGCCTGCTACTGTAGCTGCATTGTCAGATCACACCTGTGCCTGCCTTAACTATTTCTAAGGCAGAAGAGTCATCTCAGCTGAAACTGACCCTGTCACCTCCCTCCCCCAGACTCAAACTTGTGCTGAACAACTAGACAGAGTCTCTAGACCAGTGGTTCCCAACCATTTTTTTCCACGACCCACTGCTGGGAGTGAAGCGCAGTGGTGGTGGTGGCCCAGCAGCGAGGGCAGGGGCTAGAGAGCTCCTAGCATGGGGTGCGCCTCATCTTTTATGTGCGGCGCTGTCGACATTGCCCCCGCAACCCTCATTTGGGTCACGACCTGGCGTTGGAACTGCTGCTATAGACTTTGTGTGTGAATGAAGAGTTAAAGGCCAAAATATTTTTAGAGGCTGAGTATTAGGTAGAAAAATAACAGCTGGCGAGTAGAGAATAAGGAAATCTAATCAGCTGGGCTTGATTGGTTGGATAAATCAATAGGTGTGTGTGGGCTAACTCCTCTTCCTGTTGGAACTTGCTGCATCTCTGGCCAATACAAATGCAAATAGTGCCTGGTCTTGGCAAGCCTTAATATGCAGCTACTACAGCTAGTTCACGTAAATGCCTAAGCTCAGTAAAGCCGATCACTCCTTCTTTCAAAAAGTAAATGCATCAATTTTATGGTAGCAGCACTGAAGCGGCAGGATCTTGGAATCACTGGGCATATCTACATGAGATATTTTACTGCACGGTAGACCAATTTACTGTGCAATAAGTGTCACCATCTACGTGGGCAGATGCTTACTGAACAGTAAATTGGTCTACTCTGCAGTTAATATTCTGCCTGTGTATGCAGGTAGCAAATTAGCTGTGGAGTAATTACTGCACATTAATGCATGAGTAGATGGCTGACCAGGAGCAAATTTACTCCAGGCCAGCTGGGCAGCAGGGGGCGAGAGATTGCTCCCTGCCCCAGGAGCTGCCTGCTGCCAGAGCAGGCTCTAAGCTTGCAGCCTGCCCGGGACAATGTCCCCCTGCCCCAGCAGCAAGCAGCTCCTGGCCCTGAGCAGGGTGGGAGCAGCCCTCTCTGGGTTGCTCCCATTGCAAGCAGATCTGCTCCCAAGAAGGAGCACATGTAGATATGCTCCCCAGGAGACTTACTGCGCAGTATTTTTACTGTTCAGTAAGCCTGCTTTGAGTTAATTGCATGTGTAGACACACTCATTCAATTCTGGTTTGCTGTTTACTTGTGCGCAACAGTCTCCTCTAAAAAAAAAAAAAAAAAAA